GCAAGTTGTGTGTATAGGAGGAGGGGCAAAGGAGGAGGAAAAAGAAGAGCTTTTACAATTAGAAATACCGTGCAACATTGAATATGTGAGAATAGGAGATTGTCAAGGGTTAGAGAGATTATCAAAAACCTTTCACAACCTTACATGTCTCACAAACTTAGAGATCGTAAAGTGCCCGAAATTGGTTTCACTTTCAACGGACAACTTGCCTCCAACACTTAGGACTTTGTGCATTTTGAGTTGTGAGAATTTGGAATGTTTTCTGGAGGACAAGGAGAATATCAATTTCAGTAGCACATCTCTTCTTCAATCTCTTGAAATTAGAGAATGCGAAGCTCTAAAATCATTAGCATGGAGTGGTAAGTTACCCGTGCAGCTTAAGAAGTTGGATGTTTTACTGTGTCCAGAGCTTGAATGTTTAGCACGGGAAATTGGGGATAATACTTGTCTTGAATCTATTTCACTCTGGGGCTGTAGAAATATTAAACATTTACCCCAAGGACTGGACAAACTCAGTCGTCTTCAACATATTTGTCTATGGGATTGTCCAAATCTTGTTCGTCTCCCAGAAGCTCTGCCCAACCTCCACCATCTTCAAGTGTTAATCATATGGGCATGTCCAAGGGTGCAAAATTCCATCGGAGAAAGGGGTTTCCCTACCAACCTAACTTCCCTTTCCATTGATGACCCCAATATTAGTAAGGCAGTAATGGAATGGGGATTGCATAGACTCACCTTTCTTACATATCTCCACATTAATGGTAGTAATTGCACAGATGCGGCGTCGTTTTCTCAAGAGGAGATTGGAATGAAGCTGCCCCCTTCTCTGATCGATCTTACTATCGGCAATTTCAAAAATGTAAGAAAGCTATCCTCCAACGGCTTTCAAAACCTCACCTCTCTTCAATCTTTGGTGATGTACGGTTGCCCAAAGCTCAAATCCATTCCCCGAAAGGAAATGCTTCCCTCGCTTTCGCAGCTAACTATTTGGGACTGTCCGGTGCTAAAGAAAAGGTGCAAAAGGGACAAAGGAAAACA